AGACTTTCATCAAACTTCCAAGATTATTTTTCTGCTATATTCTGAAGAAGGAAGGCTTATCTAAATTTACAAAGATAAAGCAGATATGTGCTAATGCTATTAAAACTGGAGCTGTAGTGAAATTTAATATAAGTGAGCTGTCGCTTCTCAATTTTACTTCTATTTCGCTAAAAATGATTTTTTGAAGAAAGATAATTTTAAATGGATTGACTTACGAGGGAACCTCCCGAGGTGTAATCTTCCATTTTGATTCATTTATATCTTATTTAAGTGAACATATTGAGATAGTAAAAACCCTAAAAGGATTTGGGTTCCTGTTGCTGCTATCAAGAGTTATGATCGTTTTACTGAATTTTCAATCCATTCCTAGGTATTTACTGTAGAAAATAAAATTAAGGAATTTCGACCTGAAATTTGGCCTACAAATAGGCCCAATGGTCCTTAAAATATCCCGAAAGTTTCAGCCAAAAAGAATGTTCCTTTCTCGAGATATTCATTTTTCGAGGGGAATCAGTTTTTGCGACGTATTTATGGCAAGCGACTATTTTTTGAAAAATGAATATCTCGAGAAAGGAACACTATTTTTGGCTGAAACTTTCAGGATATTTTAAGGACCATTGGACCTATTTGTGGGCAAAATTTTAGGTCCAAATTCCCTAATTTTATTTTTACAGTAATTACCTAGGAATGGATAGGAAATTCAGTAAAACGGTCATAACTCTTGATAGAAGCAGCAGGAACCTAAATCCTTTTAGGGTTTTTACTATCTTAATATGTTCACTTAAATGAGATATAAATGAATCCAAAGTGGGGGGTTACACCTCGGGAGGTTCCCACGTTAGCTGTTTCTTATTGAGGAGCTTTCACATTCACTTATAATGAATTTTCAGTGTGTAAGATGATCTCATTTTCTCTCTAAAAATATTAATAATCACCTGCATTATTTGCAACAAGAGAATTTGATTGTTGTGGTGGAAGACGTTGAGAAGATGATTGACGTTCAATAGATGAACTTTTTAAAGTTTCATATTCTTCAAGAGCTATACTTAAATGAAAATAATGCATAGAAAAAAAAAAGATACGAGAATGAAGAATCTACCTTGAGGTCGCTCTTCAGGACTGAGATTCTCGTCAATCTTATTTTCTAATAAAGAATCATGAGTGTGATATCAATATATCCAATGTCTATGTTCATTTAAAAGGTCAAATAAAAGGTGATCCTCTGGTTCTGGAGAATTTAGATCAACACTCGACTCTATTGGACATATTGTTGTCGATTGAGCTTTCGGTAATTCTTCTAATCAAAAATCATACAATTCTTTTATATCCTTCTTAGTAAAATGCCGATCTATTTGATGTCCATCAATTACACTAGAGCATAACAAGAATAAATCGTATCAATTTTTTTATATTAATAGTTAATCTATATCGTTTTGAAACTAATTGTTTCACAACTTGTCGTTGATAAATCTTTTCTTCCATTGTACCATGAGATAGAAATCGATAGACATAAACTGGTTTCTTTTGACCAAAACGATATGAACGAAAAAATCGAGTTGAATCTAAGCGATTAGTATACGAAATCCCACAAGAGACATCTTTTTCAAATTAAGAATTATATGATGATACTCATCTTGGATTTCAACTTGCATCGAAAACAATAACTCGATTACTAGCAGTTAAATTAATTCAAATACCACCAGCTGTTGTTAATGTAAGAAATAATCGAGCACGTGAATTCGAAGGATTATTAAATGCTTCTATATAACTTTTTCTTAATATAATTTTTGTTTTATCATCGATTCGGAAATAGTCTTTTTCAGAAACTCATTGCACTGATGTAGGTATACTGTGATTTTTCTTTTCTGATAAAAGAGTTTGATATTGTTCTTCATTTTGAATCTTTAAGTGTTTTAGAATTTTTTCAATGTAGTCCAATGAAAATAAACTACGTGAAACTACAAGAATTTTATCGCCGATTTCAGCACATTTATGAATGATAGATTTTAATAATAAATTTTTTTCACTTAATTCTACATCGAACTCACTTTAATTGAATAAGTTATCCAAGTGATGAAACCAAAATTCCTTAGGCATTTCATCCAACCATAATTTAATAGAATTTTATTTTTCATTATCATTATAAGTTATTCCTTTTGGAGAGTTTTTATATCAGTTTTGTATGAATCAACAGTTGTGGATGATGATTTGTTTTGCATTGAATCATCTTTACTTATATCAATATATTCACCACTATCAGTTGATGTTGAATCAGAATCAATTGTTGCTGATATTAGGGATTGATATCCATCCACTTCATTTCGAATATTGTTCATTGAAAAATCATTTAAATTATTTTCCAATGATGATTATAACAAATCAAGACAGCTCAGAATAATTATTT